ACTGACTGACCAGGCCGTCAGTCCTGCCTGCCCCGGCCGTCAGTACTGACAGACCAGGCCGTCAGCACTGACTGACCAGGCCGTCAGTACTGAGGGTGCTGTTGACCTTGTTAGTGAAGGTAAACCTCTGTGTTCTGGCGACAGCTGCGTCGCCCGTTCCGTTCCTAACCTTCAGTGCTGACATCTCTGTGTGACGTTCGTGGTCCGCAGACCTTATGTTGGCAGTGGGCGGGGCAGCAGTTGCTGCCTACAATGAACATTGTGTTGAAGTGTGTGCTGGTGCGTGTGCATGTTGACAGGCCGCGGTCACCAGTACGGTGTCTGCACCTGCCAGCTGATGTCTGAATTCCAGGACCAATATAGCTGCGCTCATTTAATACACAGGAGCCACAGGCCGCGCACTGATGTTACACTGTTCAAAAAGTACTGCAGTAATACGTGTCCGTGTGGTCATTAGTCAAAACTTTTTTTAAAATTCTTTTTACCGTGTTGTGGTTTTGTAAACACTGCCGTCGTCATCTTTTTTAAATCCATCTTTGGTTGTACTGTTAAGTCACTGCGTTAAATCGGTGTTGTTTCTACACTGCTTGCCCGTGGTCATCGTCACTGAGGTCACTGAGGTCACCGAGGTCACTGAGGTCCAGTCTGGGAGTCAGATTGTTCTGAGTCAGTACCTTAGTGATACAGACCACTGTGTCCGTCTCTGGTGTTTGTTGTAGACATGGGGGGGGGGGGGGGCATCCAGGAGGTGTTGTGAGTCGAGCGTCAGTTCAGTCGGATGACGTCGGCCACTGACGACTGATCTGATTCTACTGATAGATGAGTCAAGAAATGTCTCCAAAACAGTGAGCGAGTGTGTGTGTGTGTGTGTGTGTTTGAAAAAGAGCAGAAGACAGAGCGCTGTTGTCACTACAGTCCTGCACAGTGTAGATTGGACGGTCGTCATGGGAACAGAATTCTTTCCTAGCAGAGAAGTGGAGGAGCAGCCAGGGTCGGTCTGAAAGGGATCCGGTCCAGTCCGGTCCGGTCCGGTCCTCTCGTTAGGCCACAGGCCACATATCAGTGTGAATGTTGAAACCAACACCGCTCCTTGGTGTCCACTAGGGGTGTAAGAACATTAAAGCAGTACACTGAAACGTCAGGATACCAGGCCCATATTCTACAGAGAGAACCCAGAGAGGTTCTTCTCTGGTTCTAAACCTCAACTTTATATTTATGAACAGTTCAAAGTTCATCTGTCAATGAAAACATGTGACTAATCTGAATGTCTGACCCAACGACCTGAAAATATGTTTTTATTTTATATTTTTAAACGTCGCTGCTTATTTTGCTTCTTCAATATCGTTCACTGTTTCTAGTTCATTAAAGTCACTCTTTGTGATTTTGTGAATCTGTAAATGTTTTTGTTGATGATCTGAAAGTTATTTCTGTCACAGCGTCTGTGTTGAACTCTTCTCTGATTGGTCAATGTGCTTCTGTCAGGTTTCCATCACCTCAGCTGTCCACTCGCTGCTCTGAAGGTCCACCGTTCCACCACCACCACCACCACCACCTCCAGCCAAGCTGTTCACCCCGAGCAAGATCACTTTCACTGTACGACCACTTCTCATCTGATGTAGTCAGTAGTTACAGACGACTGACTGGTCACTCTGGATATGTTCATGTACTACAGACTCACGTAGTACAGACTCACGTAGTACAGACTCACGTAGTACAGACTCATGTAGTACAGACTCACGTAGTACAGACTCATGTAGTACAGACTCACGTAGTACAGACTCATGTAGTACAGACTCACGTAGTACAGACTCATGTAGTACAGACTCACGTAGTACAGACTCATGTAGTACAGACTCACGTAGTACAGACTCATGTAGTA